GGTGACTCGCCAGGGAAACCTTACACTCAATAGCAGTTGATTTAATATATGGTGATTGTTGACKAAAAAAAAAACACCATTAATAGAGACAATAAACATAGATGATTATTTATCATGTTACAGTATTTGTTTATCTTAAAAAAGAAAAATTACACAAAATAACTCCATAATTTATGGTAATAACAATATATCTTAGTTAATACATTAATCCAAAATTAATCTTAGCGGCATTTTTATCACATGCAAACATACTCTTATAAATCACAACACATTTTGTGTGATTTCTATTGACCCAAACGATAAGTAAGAAGAAAATCGTTTACTTGGTTATAATCAACGAGTTCCATAATCTTAATTAGATGGAGATGCGTAGGTCATTTGTAGCTATAATCTCCTTGTTATGTTGATCATCCTCGACAAAGTACAAGGATGGTACTTGTAGTAGTCTAAGACGTTTTCGGCCCACCAATTAGTTGTCCCCAAAACTCCCCAACTATTAGCTCCCATGTCGTACACATGAACCACACCATACATAAACTCAATTTTCTTCTCCCTCACCACAAGACGCTTACCATCATACCTGCCAACATACAAGCTCTTTTTCGTCCATCGATACGGTCTTGATCCGTCTAGCGAGATCCAAAGAAAAATTACGATTTTATCCTTTATTGAATAAATCTACCACTACTATAAATAAGTCTACCACTACTATAAATAAMTCTACCACATATTATAAATCTACCACTACCACGACTATAAATAAGTCTACCACATATTATAAATCTACTACTACTATAAATAAATCTACCACTACTATAAACAAGTCTAAGGTTGTTTTAGTAAYAAGGTGAAAAGATTGAATAAATCTGCCATTACAATAAATAAGTCTCCACATATTATAACTCTACCACTATTATAAATAAGTCTACGATTGCGCGAACCATCAATAAGTCTACCGATCACAAAATAACTCTACCACAACTACTAATAAGTCTATCACTCAAAAATAAATCTATCACTACTGTAAATAAGTTTACGATTGCGCG